GGAGGGAGAAGGCGCAGGGAAACAGTGGAATGGAGGGAGAAGGCGCAGGGAAACAGTGGAATGGAGGGAGAAGGCGCAGGGAAACAGTGGAATGGAGGGAGAAGGCGCAGGGAAACAGTGGAATGGAGGGAGAAGGCGCAGGGAAACAGTGGAATGGAGGGAGAAGGCGCAGGGAAACAGTGGAATGGAGGGAGAAGGCGCAGGGAAACAGTGGAATGGAGGGAGAAGGCGCAGGGAAACAGTGGAATGGAGGGAGAAGGCGCAGGGAAACAGTGGAATGGAGGGAGAAGGCGCAGGGAAACAGTGGAATGGAGGGAGAAGGCGCAGGGAAACAGTGGAATGGAGGGAGAAGGCGCAGGGAAACAGTGGAATGGAGGGAGAAGGCGCAGGGAAACAGTGGAATGGAGGGAGAAGGCGCAGGGAAACAGTGGAATGGAGGGAGAAGGCGCAGGGAAACAGTGGAATGGAGGGAGAAGGCGCAGGGAAACAGTGGAATGGAGGGAGAAGGCGCAGGGAAACAGTGGAATGGAGGGAGAAGGCGCAGGGAAACAGTGGAATGGAGGGAGAAGGCGCAGGGAAACAGTGGAATGGAGGGAGAAGGCGCAGGGAAACAGTGGAATGGAGGGAGAAGGCGCAGGGAAACAGTGGAATGGAGGGAGAAGGCGCAGGGAAACAGTGGAATGGAGGGAGAAGGCGCAGGGAAACAGTGGAATGGAGGGAGAAGGCGCAGGGAAACAGTGGAATGGAGGGAGAAGGCGCAGGGAAACAGTGGAATGGAGGGAGAAGGCGCAGGGAAACAGTGGAATGGAGGGAGAAGGCGCAGGGAAACAGTGGAATGGAGGGAGAAGGCGCAGGGAAACAGTGGAATGGAGGGAGAAGGCGCAGGGAAACAGTGGAATGGAGGGAGAAGGCGCAGGGAAACAGTGGAATGGAGGGAGAAGGCGCAGGGAAACAGTGGAATGGAGGGAGAAGGCGCAGGGAAACAGTGGAATGGAGGGAGAAGGCGCAGGGAAACAGTGGAATGGAGGGAGAAGGCGCAGGGAAACAGTGGAATGGAGGGAGAAGGCGCAGGGAAACAGTGGAATGGAGGGAGAAGGCGCAGGGAAACACTGGAATGGAGGGAGAAGGCGCAGGGAAACAGTGGAATGGAGGGAGAAGGCGCAGGGAAACAGTGGAATGGAGGGAGAAGGCGCAGGGAAACAGTGGAATGGAGGGAGAAGGCGCAGGGAAACAGTGGAATGGAGGGAGAAGGCGCAGGGAAACAGTGGAATGGAGGGAGAAGGCGCAGGGAAACAGTGGAATGGAGGGAGAAGGCGCAGGGAAACAGTGGAATGGAGGGAGAAGGCGCAGGGAAACAGTGGAATGGAGGGAGAAGGCGCAGGGAAACAGTGGAATGGAGGGAGAAGGCGCAGGGAAACAGTGGAATGGAGGGAGAAGGCGCAGGGAAACACTGGAATGGAGGGAGAAGGCGCAGGGAAACAGTGGAATGGAGGGAGAAGGCGCAGGGAAACAGTGGAATGGAGGGAGAAGGCGCAGGGAAACAGTGGAATGGAGGGAGAAGGCGCAGGGAAACAGTGGAATGGAGGGAGAAGGCGCAGGGAAACAGTGGAATGGAGGGAGAAGGCAGGGAAACAGTGGAATGGAGGGAGAAGGCGCAGGGAAACAGTGGAATGGAGGGAGAAGGCGCAGGGAAACAGTGGAATGGAGGGAGAAGGCGCAGGGAAACAGTGGAATGGAGGGAGAAGGCGCAGGGAAACAGTGGAATGGAGGGAGAAGGCGCAGGGAAACAGTGGAATGGAGGGAGAAGGCGCAGGGAAACAGTGGAATGGAGGGAGAAGGCGCAGGGAAACAGTGGAATGGAGGGAGAAGGCGCAGGGAAACAGTGGAATGGAGGGAGAAGGCGCAGGGAAACAGTGGAATGGAGGGAGAAGGCGCAGGGAAACAGTGGAATGGAGGGAGAAGGCGCAGGGAAACAGTGGAATGGAGGGAGAAGGCGCAGGGAAACAGTGGAATGGAGGGAGAAGGTGTCAGATTACCATCTTCATGGAACCTGCAGGCATCTATACGCTTTGAACTAGGGATAGGCACCCAAACTTAGTTTGGGTGCACAACTAGGGTTTACCCTAGTTTGAGGTTGGAACCCAACCTTGGCCCAATTATTGGGCCCCCAAGGTTGGGTTGGGAGATTATTGGCCCCCCCAATAATGTTGACCCACTTTTGGTCAACATTATTGGTCCCCCCAATAACTCCTCAACCCAACTTATTGGTGGGGGCCAATAATGTTGGCATGGCTCCTACATCCTAGCTCAACTATCTAAAACCCATGCCCCTTCCTAATGAAACATCGGTTATTCTTACAATTTCTCACAGAGGCGCAGGGAAATGGAATGGAGGGAGAAGGCGCAGGGAAACAGTGGAATGGAGGGAGAAGGCGCAGGGAAACAGTGGAATGGAGGAGAAGGCGCAGGGAAACAGTGGAATGGAGGGAGAAGGCGCAGGGAAACAGTGGAATGGAGGGAGAAGGCGCAGGGAAACACTGGAATGGAGGGAGAAGGCGCAGGGAAACAGTGGAATGGAGGGAGAAGGCGCAGGGAAACAGTGGAATGGAGGGAGAAGGCGCAGGGAAACAGTGGAATGGAGGGAGAAGGCGCAGGGAAACAGTGGAATGGAGGGAGAAGGCGCAGGGAAACAGTGGAATGGAGGGAGAAGGCGCAGGGAAACAGTGGAATGGAGGGAGAAGGCGCAGGGAAACAGTGGAATGGAGGGAGAAGGCGCAGGGAAACAGTGGAATGGAGGGAGAAGGCGCAGGGAAACAGTGGAATGGAGGGAGAAGGCGCAGGGAAACAGTGGAATGGAGGGAGAAGGCGCAGGGAAACAGTGGAATGGAGGGAGAAGGCGCAGGGAAACAGTGGAATGGAGGGAGAAGGCGCAGGGAAACAGTGGAATGGAGGGAGAAGGGCGCAGGGAAACAGTGGAATGGAGGGAGAAGGCGCGCAGGGAACAGTGGAATGGAGGGAGAAGGCGCAGGGAAACAGTGGAATGGAGGGAGAAGGCGCAGGGAAACAGTGGAATGGAGGGAGAAGGCGCAGGGAAACAGTGGAATGGAGGGAGAAGGCGCAGGGAAACAGTGGAATGGAGGGAGAAGGCGCAGGGAAACAGTGGAATGGAGGGAGAAGGCGCAGGGAAACAGTGGAATGGAGGGAGAAGGCGCAGGGAAACAGTGGAATGGAGGGAGAAGGCGCAGGGAAACAGTGGAATGGAGGGAGAAGGCGCAGGGAAACAGTGGAATGGAGGGAGAAGGCGCAGGGAAACAGTGGAATGGAGGGAGAAGGCGCAGGGAAACAGTGGAATGGAGGGAGAAGGCGCAGGGAAACAGTGGAATGGAGGGAGAAGGCGCAGGGAAACAGTGGAATGGAGGGAGAAGGCGCAGGGAAACAGTGGAATGGAGGGAGAAGGCGCAGGGAAACAGTGGAATGGAGGGAGAAGGCGCAGGGAAACAGTGGAATGGAGGAGAAGGCGCAGGGAAACAGTGGAATGGAGGGAGAAGGCGCAGGGAAACAGTGGAATGGAGGGAGAAGGCGCAGGGAAACAGTGGAATGGAGGGAGAAGGCGCAGGGAAACAGTGGAATGGAGGGAGAAGGCGCAGGGAAACAGTGGAATGGAGGGAAAACAGTGGAATGGAGGGAGAAGGCGCAGGGAAACAGTGGAATGGAGGGAGAAGGCGCAGGGAAACAGTGGAATGGAGGGAGAAGGCGCAGGGAAACAGTGGAATGGAGGGAGAAGGCGCAGGGAAACAGTGGAATGGAGGGAGAAGGCGCAGGGAAACAGTGGAATGGAGGGAGAAGGCGCAGGGAAACAGTGGAATGGAGGGAGAAGGCGCAGGGAAACAGTGGAATGGAGGGAGAAGGCGCAGGGAAACAGTGGAATGGAGGGAGAAGGCGCAGGGAAACAGTGGAATGGAGGGAGAAGGCGCAGGGAAACACTGGAATGGAGGGAGAAGGCGCAGGGAAACAGTGGAATGGAGGGAGAAGGCGCAGGGAAACAGTGGAATGGAGGGAGAAGGCGCAGGGAAACAGTGGAATGGAGGGAGAAGGCGCAGGGAAACAGTGGAATGGAGGGAGAAGGCGCAGGGAAACACTGGAATGGAGGGAGAAGGCGCAGGGAAACAGTGGAATGGAGGGAGAAGGCGCAGGGAAACAGTGGAATGGAGGGAGAAGGCGCAGGGAAACAGTGGAATGGAGGGAGAAGGCGCAGGGAAACAGTGGAATGGAGGGAGAAGGCGCAGGGAAACAGTGGAATGGAGGGAGAAGGCGCAGGGAAACAGTGGAATGGAGGGAGAAGGCGCAGGGAAACAGTGGAATGGAGGGAGAAGGCGCAGGGAAACAGTGGAATGGAGGGAGAAGGCGCAGGGAAACAGTGGAATGGAGGGAGAAGGCGCAGGGAAACAGTGGAATGGAGGGAGAAGGCGCAGGGAAACAGTGGAATGGAGGGAGAAGGCGCAGGGAAACAGTGGAATGGAGGGAGAAGGCGCAGGGAAACAGTGGAATGGAGGGAGAAGGCGCAGAGAAACACTGGAATGGAGGGAGAAGGCGCAGGGAAACAGTGGAATGGAGGGAGAAGGCGCAGGGAAACACTGGAATGGAGGGAGAAGGCGCAGGGAAACAGTGGAATGGAGGGAGAAGGCGCAGGGAAACAGTGGAATGGAGGGAGAAGGCGCAGGGAAACACTGGAATGGAGGGAGAAGGCGCAGGGAAACAGTGGAATGGAGGGAGAAGGCGCAGGGAAACAGTGGAATGGAGGAGAAGGCGCAGGGAAACAGTGGAATGGAGGGAGAAGGCGCAGGGAAACAGTGGAATGGAGGGAGAAGGCGCAGGGAAACAGTGGAATGGAGGGAGAAGGCGCAGGGAAACAGTGGAATGGAGGGAGAAGGCGCAGGGAAACACTGGAATGGAGGGAGAAGGCGCAGGAGAGGATGGAGGAGCGGTTGCGTGAGACTGACCGTCGGTGGCGATCTCGTGCGGCTGCACCTGGTGGCCCACAAACACCTCCAGCGACAACCGTCTCAAACACCGGCGACCTGCTCCCCCCCTCCCCCCCATGCAGCACAGGCGGGTGGGCAGAAGGGAACGGGGGAGGGAGACATGGTAGGTTGTCGTTAAAGCCAGGCCAGCATTTACCACTCGCCTCCCTCCCACACCACTCGCCTCCCTCCCATACCACTCGCCACCGCCCCCTTCGCCTCAGTGTTGCCCTCCTCCCCCCACCTCCTCTCTTCCCCCTTTCCCCCCTCTTTTCCCCTATCCCTCTCCCTTCATCCCTCTCCTTCCCCCTCTTCCCACCCTCTACCTCTTCCCCTTCTCCTTCCCCCCGCGCACTTGTTGGTGAAGCAGAAGCGGTAGTCGCCTTCGCGTTGCGACATGAATTCGAACTTGCCCTGAGTCTGCGCCTCCGTGGAGAACGCCGTGTACCCGTCGGGGTCGCTGATCTGCGCGCGCAAGAGAGGGGCGGGCAAGGGACGGAGGGGGACGGGAAGGGGAGGGGGCTGTGAGCGTGGAGCACAGCACAGGGAAGAGCACAGGGAAGAGCACAGGGAAGAGCACAGGGAAGAGCACAGGGAAGAGCACAGGGAAGAGCACAGGGAAGAGCACAGGGAAGAGCACAGGGAAGAGCACAGGGAAGAGTGAGAGCACAGGGAAGAGCACAGGGAAGAGCACAGGGAAGAGCACAGGGAAGAGCACAGGGAAGAGCACAGGGAAGAGCACAGGGAAGAGCACAGGGAAGAGCACAGGGAAGAGCACAGGGAAGAGCACAGGGAAGAGCACAGGGAAGAGCACAGGGAAGAGCACAGGGAAGAGCACAGGGAAGAGCACAGGGAAGAGCACAGGGAAGAGCACAGGGAAGAGCACAGGGAAGAGCACAGGGAAGAGCACAGGGAAGAGCACAGGGAAGAGCACAGGGAAGAGCACAGGGAAGAGCACAGGGAAGAGCACAGGGAAGAGCACAGGGAAGAGCACAGGGAAGAGCACAGGGAAGAGCACAGGGAAGAGCACAGGGAAGAGCACAGGGAAGAGCACAGGGAAGAGCACAGGGAAGAGCACAGGGAAGAGCACAGGGAAGAGCACAGGGAAGAGCACAGGGAAGAGCACAGGGAAGAGCACAGGGAAGAGCACAGGGAAGAGCACAGGGAAGAGCACAGGGAAGAGCACAGGGAAGAGTGAGAGCACAGGGAAGAGCACAGGGAAGAGTGAGAGCACAGGGAAGAGCACAGGGAAGAGCACAGGGAAGAGCACAGGGAAGAGCACAGGGAAGAGCACAGGGAAGAGCACAGGGAAGAGCACAGGGAAGAGCACAGGGAAGAGCACAGGGAAGAGCACAGGGAAGAGCACAGGGAAGAGCACAGGGAAGAGCACAGGGAAGAGCACAGGGAAGAGCACAGGGAAGAGCACAGGGAAGAGCACAGGGAAGAGCACAGGGAAGAGCACAGGGAAGAGCACAGGGAAGAGCACAGGGAAGAGCACAGGGAAGAGCACAGGGAAGAGCACAGGGAAGAGCACAGGGAAGAGCACAGGGAAGAGCACAGGGAAGAGCACAGGGAAGAGCACAGGGAAGAGCACAGGGAAGAGCACAGGGAAGAGCACAGGGAAGAGCACAGGGAAGAGCACAGGGAAGAGCACAGGGAAGAGCACAGGGAAGAGCACAGGGAAGAGCACAGGGAAGAGCACAGGGAAGAGCACAGGGAAGAGCACAGGGAAGAGCACAGGGAAGAGCACAGGGAAGAGCACAGGGAAGAGCACAGGGAAGAGCACAGGGAAGAGCACAGGGAAGAGCACAGGGAAGAGCACAGGGAAGAGTGAGAGCACAGGGAAGAGCACAGGGAAGAGCACAGGGAAGAGCACAGGGAAGAGCACAGGGAAGAGCACAGGGAAGAGCACAGGGAAGAGCACAGGGAAGAGTGAGAGCACAGGGAAGAGCACAGGGAAGAGTGAGAGCACAGGGAAGAGCACAGGGAAGAGTGAGAGCACAGGGAAGAGCACAGGGAAGAGCACAGGGAAGAGCACAGGGAAGAGTGAGAGCACAGGGAAGAGCACAGGGAAGAGCACAGGGAAGAGCACAGGGAAGAGCACAGGGAAGAGCACAGGGAAGAGTGAGAGCACAGGGAAGAGCACAGGGAAGAGTGAGAGCACAGGGAAGAGCACAGGGAAGAGCACAGGGAAGAGCACAGGGAAGAGCACAGGGAAGAGCACAGGGAAGAGTGAGAGCACAGGGAAGAGCACAGGGAAGAGCACAGGGAAGAGCACAGGGAAGAGCACAGGGAAGAGCACAGGGAAGAGCACAGGGAAGAGCACAGGGAAGAGTGAGAGCACAGGGAAGAGCACAGGGAAGAGCACAGGGAAGAGTGAGAGCACAGGGAAGAGCACAGGGAAGAGCACAGGGAAGAGCACAGGGAAGAGTGAGAGCACAGGGAAGAGCACAGGGAAGAGCACAGGGAAGAGCACAGGGAAGAGCACAGGGAAGAGTGAGAGCACAGGGAAGAGCACAGGGAAGAGCACAGGGAAGAGCACAGGGAAGAGCACAGGGAAGAGCACAGGGAAGAGTGAGAGCACAGGGAAGAGCACAGGGAAGAGCACAGGGAAGAGTGAGAGCACAGGGAAGAGCACAGGGAAGAGCACAGGGAAGAGTGAGAGCACAGGGAAGAGCACAGGGAAGAGCACAGGGAAGAGTGAGAGCACAGGGAAGAGCACAGGGAAGAGCACAGGGAAGAGCACAGGGAAGAGCACAGGGAAGAGCACAGGGAAGAGTGAGAGCACAGGGAAGAGCACAGGGAAGAGCACAGGGAAGAGTGAGAGCACAGGGAAGAGCACAGGGAAGAGCACAGGGAAGAGCACAGGGAAGAGCACAGGGAAGAGCACAGGGAAGAGCACAGGGAAGAGCACAGGGAAGAGCACAGGGAAGAGTGAGAGCACAGGGAAGAGCACAGGGAAGAGCACAGGGAAGAGCACAGGGAAGAGCACAGGGAAGAGCACAGGGAAGAGCACAGGGAAGAGCACAGGGAAGAGCACAGGGAAGAGCACAGGGAAGAGCACAGGGAAGAGCACAGGGAAGAGCACAGGGAAGAGCACAGGGAAGAGCACAGGGAAGAGCACAGGGAAGAGCACAGGGAAGAGCACAGGGAAGAGCACAGGGAAGAGCACAGGGAAAAGAGGGAAGAGCACAGGGAAGAGCACAGGGAAGAGCACAGGGAAGAGTGAGAGCACAGGGAAGAGCACAGGGAAGAGTGAGAGCACAGGGAAGAGCACAGGGAAGAGCACAGGGAAGAGCACAGGGAAGAGCACAGGGAAGAGTGAGAGCACAGGGAAGAGCACAGGGAAGAGTGAGAGCACAGGGAAGAGCACAGGGAAGAGCACAGGGAAGAGCACAGGGAAGAGCACAGGGAAGAGTGAGAGCACAGGGAAGAGCACAGGGAAGAGTGAGAGCACAGGGAAGAGCACAGGGAAGAGTGAGAGCACAGGGAAGAGCACAGGGAAGAGCACAGGGAAGAGCACAGGGAAGAGCACAGGGAAGAGTGAGAGCACAGGGAAGAGCACAGGGAAGAGTGAGAGCACAGGGAAGAGCACAGGGAAGAGCACAGGGAAGAGCACAGGGAAGAGCACAGGGAAGAGCACAGGGAAGAGCACAGGGAAGAGCACAGGGAAGAGCACAGGGAAGAGCACAGGGAAGAGCACAGGGAAGAGCACAGGGAAGAGCACAGGGAAGAGCACAGGGAAGAGCACAGGGAAGAGCACAGGGAAGAGCACAGGGAAGAGCACAGGGAAGAGCACAGGGAAGAGCACAGGGAAGAGCACAGGGAAGAGCACAGGGAAGAGCACAGGGAAGAGCACAGGGAAGAGCACAGGGAAGAGCACAGGGAAGAGCACAGGGAAGAGTGGCGCAACAGCAACGCTTGCCAACATGCGAGGCACTGAGAGGCCCTGGAAGCACTGGGGGCACTGATGAAGGCTGATCGGGTTTAACCCGTTGGCCGAAACTAGTTTGCGACTAGGTTTCTTGTACAATTTCTGGGAAAGTTTTTTACAGTTTCGTTCCTTACAGTTGCTTAAGCGTTTTTCTTCAGGATTTGCAGCTATTCCGATATGAGTTTGGACACTGAGAGCCCCTGGAAGCACTGGGGGCACGCGCCAGGTGGACTGGCCAGCAGGTAGCACACTTGCCGCCAGCGTTTGACCCGAACTTTCTGCACGAGTCAACGCCGTACGTTCCACTCACCACCAGGTCAACGCCATTCTGCTCCCAGTCGCCCCACGCGTCGGCGCTGACGACGACGAAGTTGCCGTGCACGACGTCGCCCACCCAGTTGACGTACTCCGTCAGACACTCCTTCCGGTCCAGCGTGAACCGCACGCCGCGCGCGCCGCTGCTCGCCGACAGCACGAGCACGAGCAGCAGCAGCTCGCGAAAGCACTGCCGCCGCATCCACCGCCGCAGTCGCGGGAGGACGCAGTAATTCGGCCTTGAATGCATCGCTTGCTCAGAATGAGTTGAATTTGATGAAGGTGTGAAACAAATCGAGAAATCGTGCGGAGATTTTGGTCAACAGGCTTTGTATAGCTGTAGGATTTGTGGCCGTGACTGGCGGTGGTTCGTTCACGAATGTACCGCGCCCTGAGGACGCGGCACCTCTAGCAATTTTGCAGGATCGATCGCAGGATCGCTGATTGCACCGCACTAAAACTCTCTGAAAGCATTTAAAATTCCCAACACAGTTCTTAACTCCGCAAAAAATCGAACCTGCGCAGGATCTATCGCAGGATCGGTGCTACAGGTGCCGCATCCCGAGGAACATTTGCAATATGGAGATCTTGAACCACCACTCCCAACATGTCGCAAACTCATCGCCAAAAACATTCCCGCAAACCAATCTTGCCACTTACGACTGCTAGACATGTACAATGCAAGAGGCTAATCATCCTAAAAGTGGAAATATAACAAGAAAATAATACTCGTGGTCTCATGATACATGTCCAACTACTGATGGTGTTGTAGCAATACTGATTCTGATTCCTCCTCTCTTGCTAGGACAAACCAGTCCCTGTATCGTTGAAACACACCCAACTCGATGGCTTGCCGAATAACTTGAAAGAAGTGAAGCATGTGATGGTGGTTGTGGCTGAAGGGAGGTACGTTGGGGTAATAAGACCAAGGAAAAACAACAAGGGCACAGTTAGCAAAACGCACAGCACAGCAGACAGTGGGTTGAGCATGAGGACAAGTGTGACCTCCCTCCGCAACGCCAACGGCCCTGCGTGAGAGTGATGACGGTGGGAGACCCTCTCCCGCATTACCAGCCCTTCACGTAGCGCTACTTCGCTTCCTTGCATCAAACCGCAGACATCGCACCCCAGACAGCCACTCACATGTCTAGCAGCACAGCCACTCACATGCCTAGCAGCACAGCCACTCACATGCCTAGCAGCACAGCCACTCACATGTGTAGCAGCACAGCCACTCACATGCCTAGCAGCACAGCCACTCACATGCCTAGCAGCACAGCCACTCACATGCCTAGCAGCACAGCCACTCACATGCCTAGCAGCACAGCCACTCACATGCCTAGCAGCACAGCCACTCACATGCCTAGCAGCACAGCCACTCACATGCCTAGCAGCACAGCCACTCACATGCCTAGCAGCACAGCCACTCACATGCCTAGCAGCACAGCCACTCACATGCCTAGCAGCACAGCCACTCACATGCCTAGCAGCACAGCCACTCACATGCCTAGCAGCACAGCCACTCACATGCCTAGCAGCACAGCCACTCACATGCCTAGCAGCACAGCCACTCACATGCCTAGCAGCACAGCCACTCACATGCCTAGCAGCACAGCCACTCACATGCCTAGCAGCACAGCCACTCACATGCCTAGCAGCACAGCCACTCACATGCCTAGCAGCACAGCCACTCACATGCCTAGCAGCACAGCCACTCACATGCCTAGCAGCACAGCCACTCACATGCCTAGCAGCACAGCCACTCACATGCCTAGCAGCACAGCCACTCACATGCCTAGCAGCACAGCCACTCACATGCCTAGCAGCACAGCCACTCACATGTGTAGCAGCACAGCCACTCACATGCCTAGCAGCACAGCCACTCACATGCCTAGCAGCACAGCCACTCACATGCCTAGCAGCACAGCCACTCACATGCCTAGCAGCACAGCCACTCACATGCCTAGCAGCACAGCCACTCACATGCCTAGCAGCACAGCCACTCACATGCCTAGCAGCACAGCCACTCACATGCCTAGCAGCACAGCCACTCACATGCCTAGCAGCACAGCCACTCACATGCCTAGCAGCACAGCCACTCACATGCCTAGCAGCACAGCCACTCACATGCCTAGCAGCACAGCCACTCACATGCCTAGCAGCACAGCCACTCACATGCCTAGCAGCACAGCCACTCACATGCCTAGCAGCACAGCCACTCACATGCCTAGCAGCACAGCCACTCACATGTGTAGCAGCACAGCCACTCACATGCCTAGCAGCACAGCCACTCACATGCCTAGCAGCACAGCCACTCACATGCCTAGCAGCACAGCCACTCACATGCCTAGCAGCACAGCCACTCACATGCCTAGCAGCACAGCCACTCACATGCCTAGCAGCACAGCCACTCACATGCCTAGCAGCACAGCCACTCACATGCCTAGCAGCACAGCCACTCACATGCCTAGCAGCACAGCCACTCACATGCCTAGCAGCACAGCCACTCACATGCCTAGCAGCACAGCCACTCACATGCCTAGCAGCACAGCCACTCACATGCCTAGCAGCACAGCCACTCACATGCCTAGCAGCACAGCCACTCACATGCCTAGCAGCACAGCCACTCACATGCCTAGCAGCACAGCCACTCACATGCCTAGCAGCACAGCCACTCACATGCCTAGCAGCACAGCCACTCACATGCCTAGCAGCACAGCCACTCACATGCCTAGCAGCACAGCCACTCACATGCCTAGCAGCACAGCCACTCACATGCCTAGCAGCACAGCCACTCACATGCCTAGCAGCACAGCCACTCACATGCCTAGCAGCACAGCCACTCACATGCCTAGCAGCACAGCCACTCACATGCCTAGCAGCACAGCCACTCACATGCCTAGCAGCACAGCCACTCACATGCCTAGCAGCACAGCCACTCACATGCCTAGCAGCACAGCCACTCACATGCCTAGCAGCACAGCCACTCACATGCCTAGCAGCACAGCCACTCACATGCCTAGCAGCACAGCCACTCACATGCCTAGCAGCACAGCCACTCACATGCCTAGCAGCACAGCCACTCACATGCCTAGCAGCACAGCCACTCACATGCCTAGCAGCACAGCCACTCACATGTGTAGCAGCACAGCCACTCACATGCCTAGCAGCACAGCCACTCACATGCCTAGCAGCACAGCCACTCACATGCCTAGCAGCACAGCCACTCACATGCCTAGCAGCACAGCCACTCACATGCCTAGCAGCACAGCCACTCACATGCCTAGCAGCACAGCCACTCACATGCCTAGCAGCACAGCCACTCACATGCCTAGCAGCACAGCCACTCACATGCCTAGCAGCACAGCCACTCACATGCCTAGCAGCACAGCCACTCACATGCCTAGCAGCACAGCCACTCACATGCCTAGCAGCACAGCCACTCACATGCCTAGCAGCACAGCCACTCACATGCCTAGCAGCACAGCCACTCACATGCCTAGCAGCACAGCCACTCACATGCCTAGCAGCACAGCCACTCACATGCCTAGCAGCACAGCCACTCACATGCCTAGCAGCACAGCCACTCACATGCCTAGCAGCACAGCCACTCACATGCCTAGCAGCACAGCCACTCACATGCCTAGCAGCACAGCCACTCACATGCCTAGCAGCACAGCCACTCACATGTGTAGCAGCACAGCCACTCACATGCCTAGCAGCACAGCCACTCACATGCCTAGCAGCACAGCCACTCACATGCCTAGCAGCACAGCCACTCACATGCCTAGCAGCACAGCCACTCACATGCCTAGCAGCACAGCCACTCACATGCCTAGCAGCACAGCCACTCACATGCCTAGCAGCACAGCCACTCACATGCCTAGCAGCACAGCCACTCACATGCCTAGCAGCACAGCCACTCACATGCCTAGCAGCACAGCCACTCACATGCCTAGCAGCACAGCCACTCACATGCCTAGCAGCACAGCCACTCACATGCCTAGCAGCACAGCCACTCACATGCCTAGCAGCACAGCCACTCACATGCCTAGCAGCACAGCCACTCACATGCCTAGCAGCACAGCCACTCACATGCCTAGCAGCACAGCCACTCACATGCCTAGCAGCACAGCCACTCACATGCCTAGCAGCACAGCCACTCACATGCCTAGCAGCACAGCCACTCACATGCCTAGCAGCACAGCCACTCACATGCCTAGCAGCACAGCCACTCACATGCCTAGCAGCACAGCCACTCACATGCCTAGCAGCACAGCCACTCACATGCCTAGCAGCACAGCCACTCACATGCCTAGCAGCACAGCCACTCACATGCCTAGCAGCACAGCCACTCACATGCCTAGCAGCACAGCCACTCACATGCCTAGCAGCACAGCCACTCACATGCCTAGCAGCACAGCCACTCACATGCCTAGCAGCACAGCCACTCACATGCCTAGCAGCACAGCCACTCACATGCCTAGCAGCACAGCCACTCACATGCCTAGCAGCACAGCCACTCACATGCCTAGCAGCACAGCCACTCACATGCCTAGCAGCACAGCCACTCACATGTGTAGCAGCACAGCCACTCACATGCCTAGCAGCACAGCCACTCACATGCCTAGCAGCACAGCCACTCACATGCCTAGCAGCACAGCCACTCACATGCCTAGCAG